TTCGACCCCCAGATTGAGAACCGCTGGAAATTTTAGAAGTACCACCAAAGAAAGGCCTACCAAAATACTTTCAAAACTCCAGTCATTGAAAGCCCTCTGAAGCGTAGTTCTACTCTGGTATGCATGAGACCACCATGCGTCAGAGTCAGCTTGCTAGCAGCTGGTTTTTCTGACAGACATATGAAGCATTCTAAACTGTAACAAGTATAATATATTTTAGTAAACTTTATATGTAAACCACAGATACAGTATTTTTTATATGACCGCTTATATTATTTACAGTATATTTAAATATATAATATTTCATCACTGTACAGTATCTATTTGGCTTACAAATCCTAAAATATTTACTCTCTAATCCTTTTAAAAGTTTGCAAACCCATATCTAGTAGGAGCTAGAATAAGATAGGAAGCCATATGGGGAACTTTTAAGTAGAAATGTGACTTAAATGGTGTAAAGAATAGATTGTAGAGAGGCAAGTGTAGAAAAGAGACCAGTGCTTTAATAGTCCAAGTGTAATATGATGGTGGATTGATATAGGGTTTAAAGGTGTGGAATAATACCCAAATTTTAAAAACTTGGTTTGGCTCTTTAAGTGGGCAGGTCAAGTAGCAAGTCATTTACTTGGTTTTGGAGTTCAGGGTTGAGCTTGTAAGAGGAGCTGTATTTGGGCATCATTAACAAACACGTAATTCCGAAAACCGTGGGGAGAAAACCTGTAGAAAATGAATAGAGACAGAGAAGTGAAGCTAAGCACTGAGCCCTAAAAGTCAGTGGCAAAAGACTGAGAAAATAATGTCTGAAGAAACAAATCAAGCCAGAATGTTTTTAAAACTATTTTTCCCCCTGGAAGAGTAGGATAAGCAATAGTAATAGGTAATATTTATTGAATGTCTTAGGTGTGTGTTATTCAATACAAGTTGCACAAATCGTAATCAATTAGGGTTTGGTTTTTACTGGTTATGAGTTGGGCTGTGATCCTCAAGGTCCTTAGTTTGAAACCACTAGCTTGTCAGAAGAAAGGGCTTTCTACTCCTGTACACGTTTACAGTCCTTGAGAGAGGACTGTGGGAGAAAGATAGACCTTCTGTTTCTGTTACAATGTCAGCCTTGAAATCCCTGGGGAAAGTTCTCCTCTTGTTGTATAAGGTCACTATGAGTCAGAATGAACTTGATAGAAATCACTAGGTTTGGCTAATCTTTGCAACAGCCCTACAAAGCAGATGGTTTTACTGTTTGCATTTGTTCCAGGTCACTTAGCTAGTGAAGTAACAAATCCTAGTGCAGACAGGTGAAAGCAAATGATTTTTAAAATACTACTGATTGGTTGAAGAAGATAAGCACTGAGAAGGCACCTTGCAATTTGGCATCCATGTGGTGATCTTTTTTAACAATAAGAGCAGTTTTGATGGAATATAAGAATGAAAATATGTTTTTGAATTGATTCAACAGTGAAGGGGAGCTTATACTTCCAGTTCATGGTCAGCTAAGAAATTTGGATCCTCTTTAACACAACTAAAAGAGTTAGATGAATTATTTTTTTTAATCTATACCTCCTAAGAACTAACAGAACAAAAGTGTCATTTCCAGTATGACTGTCCTCTAGGGTTCAAAGTTGATATATTAAGAAATCAGTTAATGAAATTTACTATATTAATGTGAAATGCAAAAATAGCATCTTAAAAATAGTAAAATTTGCAATAGCATCATATATTTAGCTTAATTACTAATGAATGCTTGTCTTAAGCATTTTGCTCACTTAAGAACTATTTATGGCATCAAATTGACAACAAAGTCTTAAATAGATATATGCACCATGTCAATGAATGGGTGGATGGAAAAAGTCAATATTTTTGTAAAGATATCAGTTCTCCTCCAAGCTATCTACAGATTCAGTTTAATTCTAGTCAGAAGGCTAGCAGAAGGGTTGCAGGGAGGAGACAAGCCAGTCAGGGTGCAGTGTAGCAA